TGACCGGGTGCCCCGTAAGGGTGCATCCTTTTTGCCCGTCTGGTGGGCTGCTTAAAGGCAGGAGGTTCCCACTGGGCTGTCTAGGCTTTCTAGGCGCTTTCCATTGTGCAATACTTCTGTACTATGTGTGCCAAATCTGCAAAGTGCAGTATGCGGCGGCGGTTGAGGGCATTGAGAATTTCCTTGTCCACACAGTTGCAGCAAAAAACTGAAACCGCGTCGCCATCGCATCAATCTTTAATCTTGTTTTTAACAAGGAGGAACCTGGCCCAGAAGTGATGGACCATTTCCTGAGGTTGCTGCCGTACATACATTAGGTCACATATGTCTGGAGGACCTAAATTACTTGGGAAATATTGATTGTGGTGGGTGGGCGGGCTAAAATCTGCGTCCCGATCCACGATTGAGTCCGGAGCTCGAAGAGTCTCCGAGTTCACCAGTTCAAGATCGGGAAGGTCCTGAGGACTTCTGGGCTCAATGCCTGATCTTATGTTCGGAGGACATACAGTCTCTTCCCGGGGATGGGTATCCAGCTCGCAGGGCTCGCAAATCCGAACATAGCTGGTTTTTAACTTAGGGGAAGAATCATTCTCGACTCATTCCTCAACGACCGCTACCAGATGGGTGACCGGCGGGGACTCGATTTCCCTCTGGTCAGGTTTAAGCCCAATCTGATCATAGTCTATTGCAACGCCCAGGGTGGCGATGCGATCTAGCATCTTGTTTAAGGACGAGACATCTGCCGGATCCATCTTTTTGGAGTGTTCGAGGCTGATGTGGAGATGATGTCTAGTGATTGTGGGAGCCGCCGTTGGCTTGACGGCCAAGCAGGCGCCCATGGTAAAACCGCCGAGCTGGAGGACCTGTCCTGGAGTTAGGGCCCCTCCAGAAGTGATATCGTCATTAATGACAAGGCGAGCCATCAATCCTTCTATCAACAACACAAAGGAACTCTCAATGAAAGCATCAATGTCGGTGTCAAAACCGGCCGATCTCGAGTAGGGGGTCCCGAATTGTGCATCTGAAGATCAAAGGTAACAAGGGACATAGGGAACACGATGTTTATCCAGGTTCGGGCCCTCTTAATGGAGGTAAAACCCTATGTCCCGCTTGATTGTATTTGATGAGTATAGAGGTTACAAGAGTCGATCTACCTCGAGATCGTAATGGCTAAACCCTAGATGTCTAGCCTATATGAATTCTGCTGATCCCTACGAACTAAACCCTCCGGTATATATATACCGGAGGGGTACAGGGTCGGTTTACAAAGGAAGGAAACAGTACATCCGGACTCCAATCATGTCGTCCACGCATCCAAGTGTCCTTCCCGAACACAGGGAATGATCTTCCGTTTTATCTTCACGGCCCATCAGCCCGGCCCACATCGAATAGGCCGGACACCTGAGGACCCCTGAATCCAGGTCTCCCTCACTAGGTGCTTCTCCGGCCCATTGGGTGTCTTATGGTCCAAAAAACTCCACAAAAAGTTACGCTACATTTGGACTCCGTTTGATATTGATTTTTTGCGATGTAAAAAACAAGCAAAAACAACAACTGACAGTGGGCACTATGTCAATAGGTTAGTACCAAAAAATGATATAAAATGATTGTAAAACATCCAATGATAATATAATAGCATGGAACAACCAAAAATTATAGATATGTTGGAGACGTATCAGGGGGGTCCTCCATGCGCTCGTTGTCGCCAACCGTTGGCGTCTTCAGATCTTCCTCGGCGGTGGGCGGCAGCACCACCTCGGGCATTGGATGAACCGGCTCCTTGCCCTTCTTGTCAATGGACGGGAGCACCTCCGTGCCCATCTCATTGCTCTCCTCGATCTGCACACAATTCATGGAGTCAGGCACAACACATAGTTCATGGCTTATTGAAGAGCATGTAGTTAAAACGACATGACTGTCACTCTTCCTCCTCTCCATCGCGCCTAAGTTTACTCACCCTGACCACTACTACTTACCCACCCCCTCCATTCTCTCACTATCAACCTTCCTCCTCTTCATCGCCATGAGCTCCAGCTCCAGCTCCAACGCCAACCCCTTCCCTTGGGGTATTGGCTGGAGGGCCTTCTTTCTCGGGTGGTCGGCTAGTGACCGCACCAAGTTTGAGAACATCATGGAGGTGTGCTCGAACTTCGGCTCCATGCCTGACATGTAGAAGGAATCTGATGCAATGCTCATGAGGGCCACTGCACAAGAGTTGAAGACGCTGATTCCTAACCCAGCGAAGGGCGCGATGGTAGTTGACATTATTTGATGGGCCATGAATCAGGCCGTCTCCAACAACGCTAAACAGAGGAAGAGGTGGTCCAAGTACAAGAACTACTGGGCTCCTAATGACCGTTGTGTCGTAGTGTACTGGGAGACGGCAATTGTGCCGCCAGCGGTCATCGGTGGGGAGCCTAAGGAGGAGGAAGAACCGGTGCAGATGCCAATGAGGGCGCCGGAGCCAGGCCGTCGTACCTGGCAGATCGACCTCGACTCCGCCGAGGAGGACGACGACCCGCCGCCCCGCACAGCGATGGACAAGAAGATGAAGGCCAACCACTCGACCCACCGCTCCGCACCCCTCAACAGCCGCCGCGGTTAGCCAGTGTCTGTTGTGTACCCCCAATCCCCCTTCTACTCCATCTGCATCTACCTCTATTCCGGTCTTGCATGAACTAGTATGAACTCGTATGAACTAGTATGAACTAGTATGAACTGCCATGCTTATCTACCTCTATTCCCATTCCCCTCTCCGTCGTGGATCGAATCTACCGCCGTATCGAACGCGAAAAAGTAGTGCATGACGAACAAAAAAAGTGCTTACCGTCATTGCCGCGGGGCAGGTGATGATCCGCTCGTCGATGATGGAGTTCGATGGTCTTCTTGCTCTCCTTCGATCTGCCGCCGCCGTGAGAGTTGGGAGAGTAGGGAGAGTGGGGAGAGGGAGCGGTGAGGCTAATAACTGCCGACGTTTTAGGAAGCAACGCGACTTCTCGAGTGGTCGCGCGCGTGCAGCCGCCGCCGCCCACGTGCACCGCTCAGCCCTGGCTCTGAAGAAAATGTAGATTCGAGCGTTCCCAGGGAGCCAGGCCCAGAAGTGATTTAAACATCGTGTCATGCAGGCCCAACAGTGTGTGCAGCCAACCAAACATCCCGTTTTCTTTCCGCGCGGGTCTGATTAGCCCTCATGCAGGCAACCAAACACACCCATAACGAAACAGTCCAAGCGTGCGAAACAGTTTAGAAGCTATCCTAAGTGGGCCAACTTTCGAACCAGCCCACAGTAGAATGATGTAGGCGCCCGTTTCCGATTAGGACCTCAAAAATGCTCTTTAGAGCTCGGGCTCCATGGAGCCCGAGTTTGACTTGATTAAAATTCAAATTTTCACGTTTCAATTTTTTTTGAAAAAAATACACACATACTTAGAGATATAAAGCATATGTGTGTAAATTTTCAGGACAAAACACCTTAAAATGAGTGCTACACAAAAAGAACAAATCTGAGGCTTTTTAGTAGATGCACTATTCATCCTAAAAATCCATGAATTTGTCTTTTTGCACAGATCGCATTTTAGGATATTTCATCCTCAAATTTTACATACATACACATATCATCCTTGTTTACTTGTATGATTTTTTTTCAGGTTTTTTTAAAACTGGAAAGTGTGAATTTTGAATTTTTCAAAAAATCCTGCCTTCATGGAGGCCGAGCTCCAAAACGCACTACTCTTAGAGCATGTCTAGTAGAACCCTCAAACCCTCAAACCCTCACTAGCGTTTTAAGGGTCCAAAAATGGTCTTTTTGTGCATTTTTATGGATTGAAAAACAGGGACAAAGATTAGAACCCTCAAACTCAATCCTTATAACGGAATATTTCCCGTGAACAACGTTGTCGTTGCGGGCATACCGTCGAGCACCTCGTGCACGATGAGCGGAGGGCGGAGGGCGGAGCGCGGGGCGGGCACGGGCGGAGGGCAGTGGCCGGGGGGTGGGAGGCGGAGGCGGAG